TTTGTTAAGTCTGTCTCTGTTCTTCTCCAGCACTCCGATCCATAAAGGAGAGTTGATACAACACAGCTCTGGTAAAGCTTCGAATTCAGCCTGGTGCTGTACTGACCTCCAGATGTTATTCATTTCTCTAAATACTCTCCTGGCCTTGCCCAGTCTGCTGTGGATGTCCTCCTTTGTGCCGCCCTCTGGTGTAATGATACTACCCAGGTAAATAAAGTTATCCGTCTGGCGCATTGACCCTAACAGGAGCAGACGATGCCACGTTAAGTGTCATTGTCTCCGTCTTCTTCGTACTGATGTGTAGTCCCACTTGCTGTCCATAGATTTGCAGCCTGTTGGTCTTCTCTTGGATATGCTGGTGTGTGTGAGACATTAGCACAAGGTAATCCGCAAAGAGTCTTCTGTTGTCTTCCGCATGACCCAGTCGATGACCAAGTTGAACAATACTGCAGACATTACGCATCCTTGTCGGACCCCCGTTTTAACATCGAAGAAGGTGTCATTGTGTCCTACTGAGAATCTGAAGTTGTTATAAAAGCTCTTTATCAGGTGTACCATTTTGGATGGAATACCATAATGGCGTAGGATGCTCCAAAGGCTATCGCGGTGTATGCTGTCAAATGCCCTTTCAAAGTCCACGAAGTTTACATACAGATGTCTCTGCCACTCTGTGCACTGCTCTATGATGTTACGGAGTGCAAAGAACTGGTCAATACATTCTCTATGTTTCCTAAATCCTGCTTGTTCTTTTCTCAATACATCATCAACAGCATCTGACATTCTTTTGATGATTATCTATATATTTATACGTCACCTGTAATAATGTGTCCAACAGGACTATAGTTATAGGATGAAGAAGAACATGAACACGATGTAGGATTATGTTTCAGATATATATTCGATATCCAGGCCATGTAAAGTGTTTTTCGTAACTAAAAAGTTTGGAAGCAATAGTCGATTTATAATTGTAGGAAATACAAGGAGTAGTCTTTAAAATGTGGTGGAATACAAGACTAGACCTTTTTGTGATTAAGAATATTACTTATATTAACCGCGTCAATTCCTTTGTTGGCCTACCGGTATTGAAGTTTAAAGAAAAGACGGATTGTTTTGGCTGCATTTTCTTCAGTAAAACGTTGGGGTTTAATATATCTACCTTTTTCATTTCCTAAATCATGTATACTGAGCCCAAATGACATTTACTATTAAACTTTTTCAAAGAAAAAAAATTACAGTTTTTTTTTTAAATCCAAGAACCCTTTTTATCCTTTTTTTTCCACTAAATCATCAAGAACTGCATCACCAATGAGACGAACATTTCTGTTTTATATACTTGGATGTTTTACACGAAAAAGACAATGGTGACAAACTTACTACTTATCTTATGATAACTATGATAATCGAAGACAAAATTTAATCATTAGAAATTTTGTCTTTATCGGTGTCACAATAAAACTTTCATACACGGTGTCTCCTTCTGCTCATTAATACGATACGAAAATCATCAGTTAGGTTTTTATCACATTCGCAACAAACTGTACTCTGTCCCTTTGAAACTTTTACATAATAGACTTGAAAAGGCCAATGAAAGTTCATATTTCGATTCCTTGACACCAGAATACAGACTTGCAAATCATACACTTTTTAAACCGCCACGTTTTACTGAAGGAAATATTCAATGCAGCATAATCATCCGTTTTTCCCCTTAAAGTTTCATATGCCAAAAAGGGATTTGAGGCGATTAATATAAGTAACATTTTAATCACAAAAGGATACAGTCAAGAATTCCACCATATTTCAAGTTGAAGACTACACCTTGTATTTTCCTACACAGGGCCGTAGAAACCGGGGGTGAGGGGTCGAGGGGGACCTCCCCCAATAGTTTTCCCACACAACTGAAAATGTTTGACTGTGCCCCCAACTGAAATTGCTTCCTATACGCGGGCCTGCTACAAATATACACCTACTATTGCTTTCAAGCTTTTTAATTACAAGAAAAATTCGCAGAGTCTGCATATTGAATATCTGAAATGAAGGATATGGAGATAACGAACAGTATTCAATATCAAAGTACATAAAACAATACAAAATAAAAGCAGAGCAAACACGGACCTCCAAAACATTAGAGGTGGAATCAGGTGCCATAGAGGAGTGAGCATCCCCTGTAGACCGGTCACACCCGCTGTGTGCTCCTTGTCATGATCGTGAAATAACGGAAAATCCGTCGTCAATTCAGTGTATAAATAAAGGTCGAACAATTAGTATGAAAAACGTAAGCGAGTATTTAACTCAATGATAAATTGTGTTTGCTGACAAGGTCATGGTATCGATCATAAAACTTACAAAATGATGACTTTAAACGAGACTGCTGATAGTCTTGTTTCATCAACTTGTTTGTCAATTATTTACTTCGTTTTAGAAATTGTTCATACGTAGAGCATACTCAAGCGTATCGAATCAACTGAGATATGTAAACTCCGTTTGCAGGTGATGAAGGTATATTGCTGCATAAGTAAGGGAAGTTGACGATAGAAAAGTTAAAGTCATCACGTTCATCATAGAGCTTGGTTGTTAGATTACCATTAGTGCCTTTTTCAAGTAAAATATCCAGGTATGAAACAGATTTGTCAGACTCTGTGGTATCTTTTATCTCAAGCTTACCAGGATATATCGTATCGACATAGGAATGGAAATTACCCTTGTACTACTACATTTACTATGTATATATTCTTTTTTAACTATGTATATATTGTTTTTTAATCTAGTTTCTACTTTCTTTTTTTTATATCTGTCTGTAAATATGTTTTATACAGGACCACAATGTAAACTAGTCATATGTACTAATTGTGCTATCCTGTCTAAATAAAGGAATTTATTATGTTCATTGACAATACGTCATCGATATATCTAAATGTCGAGTTGAAGACCACAGCAATTGTTTTCTTCTTTCACGCATAAGATTTTGTACAAATTCTGCTCCATATAAATACAAAAATAAGTCTGCTAATAAAGGAGTGCAGTTGGTACCCATTAGAATTCATATACATGTAGATTGTTGGAAGACCTGGTCTCCAAAAACCACATATATATTGTCAATTAGAAACCGAAGCATCTTTTTATGTCAACTTCAGAGTACTTGTGTGTGCAATCAGAATGTGTTTTGACAAAATAATTTTGCGAATGACCAACGACGAGGTAAGTAAATTTATGAGTTCCATTTTCATTGAAAAAACAGCTGTCAATGCTATCAAAAAGCCTGGACTTTAATTTAACGTGGGGAACGGTTGAGTATAAAGTTGAAAAGTGGTAAGTTTTTAAGCTGTTGATTTTTGTAAAATCTTGTGATTTCAAATTTTCTGAAAGTTCCTTGGAATCTTTTAGTATCTACATTTAATTTACACCACTTCTCGGATATATTGTTGCACACTACTCTTGAAGTTTCTCTTTCACTAGCACTGTTAATATCTCAGTGAGTAGTAAAGAAAGAGGCTTGATTGATCATTAACTGGAACCTGCTATGTATCTTTATTTGTAAGGATTTTTATGAAGTTTCGGAATCCAATGTAAATATGGTAGTTCAAATTCATTTTGGTTTTTTGAGACATCTTAAAAAATATTCAAAACTGACACATGAATCTGAAGAATTTCTTCCTAAGGAAAGATATGGAGATAACGAACAGTATTCAATCTCAAAGTCCATAAAACAATTCAAAATAGGAGCAGAACAAACACAGACCTCCGAAACATCAGAGGTGAGATCAGGTGCCATGGAGGAGTGAGCATCCCCTGCTGACCGGTCACACCCGCTGTGTGCTCATTGTCATGTTCAGGAAATAACGGGAAAATCCGTCGTCAATTCAGTGTATAAATAATGGACTAACAATAAGTACGAAAAAACGTCAGTCAGCATTTGACTCAATGATAAATTGTGTTTGCTGACAAGGTCATGGTATCGACCATAGAACTTACAAAATGATGACTTTAAACGAGACTGCTGATAGTCTTGTTTCACCAACTTGCTTGTCAATAATTTACCTCCTTTTAGAAATTGTTCATACGTAGAGCATGTTCTTGCGTATCGAATCAACTGAGATATATATACTCCGTATGCAGGTGATGAAGGTATATTGCTGCATAAGTAAGGGAAGTTGACGATAGAAAAGTTAAAGTCATCACGTTTATCATATAGCTTGGTTGTTAGATAACCATTAACGTCTTTTTCAAGTAAAATATCCAGGTATGAAACAGATTTGTCAGACTCTTTGGTATCTTTCTGACAAGAAGAAACCGGTGGATGGTACCGGTTGACGGATGGTCTTAATTCTCCATGGCTCCTGGTCCTATCTGCCTTTTTTAGGAGTCTGTGTTTGTTTTGCTTCCGATTTGTTTTGTTTCATTGGACTCTTTAGCTTGAGAACATTTTGCTATTTACATATTTCATTTGACATTGGATTTGCCCGTTTCCCCGATCATGAAAAAGATCACAGGTTTAACCAGTCGAAAAGATGCTTTTTCCTCCATGGAACCAAATCCCAGTTGTTATGGTTCTAGAGGTCAGTGTTTGCTCTGCATCGACTTCAATGGATTTTTAGGCTTGATCACTGTTCACTCATAAAATTATTTAAACATTGTATTGTAGAATTTAAGTCGTCTTTTACCAGTTTAATTTAGATTAATAAAATTGTCATTTTAATGACTAAATCTATGAATTGGAAAAAAAATCTATTGGTATTTTGTAACATATGTAGAAGAGATGCAATTATTCTTGAATTGCATTTATTAGAAATTATTAATTTCTTTGTTCTTTCAGCAGTTATTTATAGTTGATTTCAAATCAACAAAGAATAACAGCAGAAAGAACAAAGAAAACACCCCCTTTAAAAACGTGATGCGCATGGAATGCTATCCATTTGAAAGAGTGTACTTGAGTTTTTAAGTCCACATTTTCTATTTTACATTAACAATAACGCCTTACAAAAAAGAGAAAAAACATTTACATATAATTTTATTAAACATTTATTAATAACAGTAGCCTATCCTAAATAACGTTATGATAAATCGGAGTAAAGAGTAGAAAATAAACGTAGGAAGCAGTGCTTGTCCTTTTACATGGATACTTTAAATCTTAACACTGATTCATCATTAGGAACAGAGATACACACTCAAACATCTTTGTATATTTTTTGTCCAACGAAGGTATGCATATTATGAGTGGAAAATCTTCAGAAGAAACCACTCCACGGCATGAAAACAGAGAAATCTCTCCTTAAAACATAAAGCGATTAGCTTTAAAACTTACCTTTGTACTATAAGTGTTCACATAAGGCCTTTTCTTCCATAGGCTGACAGGAAGACATTGTTTGTTTTTAAAGCATTATTTGATATCACCATTTCTCATTATGTTACTAGTATTACGGCTTTCAATTTTCATCAGAATTACAGATGTACATTTTTTACTGCTTCATAAAAACACAAAGAACGTTCATCAGGTCTCACATTCATTTTTCACACAAAATAGGAAGGATAAATGCATAATAAGTAGAAATTGCACACATATTCGACTACCTTTTAAAGAATGTTTATTAGAACATTGTCAGAGATATAACAGTTTTGCAAATTTCAAAAACTAGTGCGTGTAGTTACATTGTAACTGTAAACCTTTTCCATATCTGAAACGATAAATAACATTTCTATGACACAACACACTTCTAGCTTGTAATTGTAAACTCATACAACCAAGTAGCCAGATCAACAGCTGATGAAATTGTCTTCATTTACAATATCAGTGGCTACGGTCGCTAAAATAATATGTAAACGCTTTCACATCAGAATAACCATACTATCGACCAGACTATCAGTTGTATATACAACACCAGAAGCCATACTACCAGCTAAAGTAATTGTAAACTCTTACAACGCCTGTAGCATTTCCCACCCACAATCGCCCCTCTCTATCAATCGCTATAGCACTGGGATTTTGAATTCCTTCGTCTTGTTCTATAAGAAACTGTAAAAAGCCTGTGTTTTTGTTCAGAAGGTGTACACAATCGTTGTTCCAGTCGGACACTATGATGTGTCCATAGTGGTCACATGTTAAATCGAGAGGATAGAAGGGACTCTCCAGCTCCTGCTGCGTTGGTCCTTCGTATTTGCATAACTCTTGGCCGTTTTCATCCATTAACATTATTTGACGTTTGTTGCTGTTTTCATAGTCTGAAAAGCAAATATTGTTGTCAGTTGTCAAAGTTATTCGGTGTGCATCATGCGGAGATATAGTCAATTCGGAAACAAGCGTCCCATCCAAGGAATATTTTGCGATTATATTCCGACGATTATCCTCCGTTGGCGGACCGGAACTTCCGTTTCTTTCTGTTCCACAAATATACACACAGTCATTTTCAGTCAAGGTCATTCCACGAGAGAAAAAGGAAAGGTCAGCAAAAGTGGTGACCTTCAAACTTTGATCCACTTTTTTGATGGTTTGTCCATTGTAGCTTGAGACCAGGAGATCGCCAGTTTTTGTCAAAACGACGTGGTTGACGTTAATGTCAAGTTTAACATTGACTTTTTTGTCTCCACTTGTACTGTATAGATCGATTTCCTTGTTTCCCCACCCACAACACACCCAGGCTTCTGTGTCCGATATCGGAGCGATTGCGTGGATGTTGGCAGATGAACACTGGCCATGGCATTGGAATTCTGCTACCATTGAGAGTCTTATGTTTGGCACAGTATTCCGACGGTTTTTCAGAATTGAAGATGGAGGAGTTATTTGGTATATCTGCACAGACCCGCATAATTCTTTCATGAATTCGTCACTTAGGGTTTGACCAACTGTGAAATTCAAAGAAACATATTGAAACTCAGTCAGCCGGTGGATTTCTGGGAGGATACCGTCTTTCCCATGAATGTTGTTCTGTTTTTTCTTCACAATGTCTTCCTCGTCTATTTCCTCTGTCACCCGATTTATAATGTTCAACAGATCTTGCTCATGTGTGTCAAGTCTTTTCATTTCCTTGGATATAACGCTCCCCGTCCATTTCAAGAGAAATCCACAAGCTCTGTCTACCGCGTCATGGAGAGCTTTAGTTCGCGCCATAATGTCCGAGTTGACATGTTTGACGTTTTTCCGAAGTCTTGTCTTCTGTTCAACCGTTTCTGACAGAGTTAATTCCAACAGAGGAAGAAATTGTGTGTAATTCATTGCCTCTGTTTGGTCCAATACAGAAAAATGTTCCCAAACATTTTTACAAATCTGTTTCCCAAATTACAAGCGTTGTTGCTTATCTTCACTAGAAGTGCCCTCCCTTTCTTGATTAGTTGCGATTGATTTTTGTTTGCTGTAACATTTTTCTGAGGTTCGTCAGCCCTACAAAGTATGTAGAATTAATGTTGACATTCCGTACAATAAGTGGAGAGATTCTGATCACATGCTTATTAGAGGACCCTGATTGGTAAAAAGACTCAGAAAGTCTGCATCTGACAGTGTACAAATAGGCAAGTCATCGCAATATTAGAAAACAAGTAGCATACGTTTTCCTATAGAAGAAGAATCAAATAATTCTGATCTTTATATATAAACATTACGCTTTCCTGTTATAAAGATGAATATATGCATTAATTAACTGAGACTCTAAAACAGGCTCATTTAGTTGTCAGAAAATATTTGTCTTCTCTGATATTAGCAGTAAGTACATAGTATAGTGACATAATCGTATGTATACATTGTATATCATATAACTTACCGACAACATGATGCAGTGGGTTACAGATGTATTAAGTGATCAATAAACACAACATCCTCTTTACACGCGCCCAAACCCCGCAGGTATTGTTTACATATGAATACACTATTGCAGAGAACCCCGACAATGCAGATAATAAGCCTGAAACATAAAAGCAATGAAAAAGGCATCTCTAGAATTAAGGGATCGTGTGTATGTATGTCAAGAATTAAACAGCATATTACATATTTAACGTCCAAATCATGATCACAAATATGCAAACAAAACAGTGTACATTGTTAAATGACAATATTAATAACTTCACATTGATTTACAACTATCAAAAAAAAAATTAAGTAAAATGAAGTAAAAACTAAGTGATAACTTAAAAATCATTCTTATTCAAATATGACATTTTACTTACATGTAAAATGTCTACCCTTGTTTACCAACTGTTGACCGGACTGGTGGGTTGTCAGCGTGCAATATACGTACGAATTGGTCACTTCCTGTTTCCCTGCACAGTAAACTAGTACCGCAAAGTGTAAACAACTACAAAGAAAGAGAGAAATTTACAACAAGGGATATCACTTTCCTCCTTGGCAAACTAACACGAATAGACATAAATTTCCCGACTACCTGCATGATTTGTGCAATGTTTCTGTGTATTGGCTGCCGTGCTGAAAGGAATTGACAATAGCAATTAATAAAAGGAGTCGAAGAGAACGTTGATTATCGATAACATCTGACTGATCTGCAGAATTAAGTGTAAAGTTTCATTTTGAGAAAGCCCTGCTATTTAATTATATAAATTAATAATGATATCTAAATGTCGTTCGAACACATAATCCAATATTTATAATTCGTATATATTCCCCGGAGAAGAAAAGATCGAAGGCTTGGTATAAAATTACGAAGACCGCGACATTTCCGATATTTCAAATTTGACGAAACACTCAAATGATATTGTTAAGAAAATATTTTTTTTAACTAGAAACAAGAATGTCATCATTTCTTAAGTCGATAAAATGAGCTTGTAAGCAAATACAATTTATCATTAGTTCAACGCTGACTGACTTTTTTCATACTTATTGTTAGGACATTATTCATACAGTGAATTGACAACGGATTTTTTCGTTATTTCCTGATCATGACAAGGAGCACGCGGTGGGTGTGACAGGTCGGCAGGGGATGCTTACTCTTCCATGGCACCTGATCCCACCTCTGATGTTTTAGATGTACATGTTTGCACCGTTCCTATTTTGTATTGTTTAACGGTCTTTTAAGTTCGATTACTGTTCGTTATCTCCAAATATTTCATACAAACAGTAACCGACACCCACCCACCCCATAAAAAGAAGAAAATTTTATATGAAACCAAGATTTAGTTGGTGAAATAGATTAACTCTAAAAATTGATAACACATTTATCACGCTATAGATTCCAGCCTATTTATAAATTAAAATCAAAGGGCAAATCACTGTAAATGTTTATGCTAAAAAGAACCATGGAAATTAAGCAGCGTAGAGATATTTTTCTAAAAATAGATTTAAATTTCTTTACTGCCACATACAATTTTAAGTTCGCCCAAAGTGAAAGAAGTCACAGCCAGTATTTACTGATACATATTATTCTTTATATCAACAAAATGATGCTAACACACTCAAAAATACATGATATTTTTAAAAACAATATAAACTGTAAATTAAGCGTATTTCTGGAATAGACACAATATTCATATTATCATGTTGTAAATTTTGAATACTAGTAAAGTGAGCCATGTTTTAAAAGTTGTTACCACAGTCAAAGTTACTGTTGTCTAGAGGAATGCGTGTCATTGAAGGTTACTAACTTTTACTGGTCATTACCATGGCTTCCTGTATTGCTAGATTCGCAATTTTCAATAGCGACATAAACAATAACAACAACAAATAACAAGAGGCCCACGGGCCTTATAGGTCACCTGAGTATCATGTAACAACTTTCCAGCGATTGTATTTGGTTCGTGTTTTAAGCCAAAAGCAATGAAATTCACAAATTTTGAAAGAGGCACCATTGCTTATCAAAGGGCAGATTTCAAAGCATTAATTTATTTTTAGTCAAAGTACCCCCCTGGTACCCCTGACCCAGCAACCTTGAAATTATCTATTTTGAAAGAGGCCCCTTTCTTCATTATAAAGCCAGCATTAGTTTTTAGCCGGGCTTATTTCTCAAAGAGCAATTACTGGCTTATGTGATCCTGTTCAAGGCAGGATGTTGACCCCATAGTCGCCATTTTAAAGTTACGTGCAAAAATATAGTTCTTACTCTCAACTGCTTTTGAGATAATACAAACGCTAAATAAAGCAACAAAAATAAAACGAAGTTTTATCTATATAAAATAAACATTAGTAGTAATGACTTTGAAAACTTCATAAGTCAAAGAACATAGTTCATTAGCGTAAGGATTTTTGATAATCAGTGTTACCGTAGTTCTCTACACATACGAGGTAAAGGAGGAGAGGGAAACAGACTGGTCTGTTTGTTTACATTCAGCTGCGGTACCAGATTAATTCTGATTCTGACAAAATCGGACCGTGGTATTAGGATTGCAAAACTTACTGTCAGTGTCTTATCATTTATATTGATAGTTTTAAAATATTTTTTTCATCAGAATATAAAAGTGATTCATGTAAGAAATCCATTCTACTCTGTAAATGAGCCCGGCTCTCTGTACTTCTGAGTACTTTGATTATGTTTAGGTTTAGTTATGAACATGAGAATAAAAATGTTCCGAAGGAGAAGGAAATAAAATATTTTTTTTTTTGATAAATCAATTATTAACATTTCTACATTCTTTTTTATGCTTTCCTAATAGGCTCCTTACCACTGGACACATAATGCTTACAAATAGGAAAGTAGAACATTTAATTGCTTATTTCATCATCTGCCAGTTTGGGCCAGTTATATAAATTTTGTGATGTTGATCAAAGTATATTTTAAAAAATCAATTCTTTAAAAGTCTTTCAATATATCTTCATTTTTTAATATGTGTTAGGTGAATGTGTAGACATTGTTCTAAAATTTACTTGATGCCTAAAATTATAATTCCTATCATAAAACAGACAGGGAGTATTGGGAAGTAGAGTCAACATTTTTTCAATTAAGTGTAAAATAATTTTTCTGGCTGATACAAATGATACTACATGCCTGTATATATTTGTATATTCTTGCCTTTTAATAGTTGATTTTTTTTTTTAATTTCTTCAGGTTATTATTTCTTCCTCAAATGGACTTCACTTCTCCCATAGTTTTATTCATTATATCTGATGCATAAGCAACCCTTTTCTGAAGAATGATGCTTAGACTGTAAGCTATAACAGAGACCTAAACAATGTCCCTGGCAATATGCAATAGCTACCACGGGCAGTTTAAAACATGGGGGAGGGGAAAAAAAATTACAGTTACTTTTGAAACGAATACATAATTATCTCACCAGCATGTCATTGTGCAACAAAGTCGTCAGCATTTTATTTGTCCTTTGAACGGGGGAAACGTTTTGAATGGACTTATTGATGAATTTTACACTAAACCAAGCTATCTAGATCTAGCTTTATTTACCCGCTGTTTCAGAAAACCGGAAGTGCGAGTTCGTAAATTTGATATCTCGATCTGACTCAAATTTGACATCGGAAAGAAATTTTTTTTTATTTTTTTCTCTGAAAATTCAAAATCTTGAGCGGAGGGTTTGTAAAACTGAATATAGAATAAATCCTGGCCTTCAATATGTAATTAGATCATTAGCATATTAACCAGGAGCAAAGGATAAGATGTTCAAAGAATTCATGCATTTCACTATATAATCATTAGAGCCCCACCCTAAAACAAGAACCCCTGACCCTGGGGCCATAAAATTCACAATTTTGGTAGAGGCACTCTTGCTCATCATAACTATGTACTTAGTTAGTTTATTTAATACCCAGGAGCAGAGAAGAAGATTTTCAAAGATTTCATGTATTTTCACTATATAACCAATAGAGCCCCGCCCTAACACCAGAACACCTGACCCTGGGGCCATAAAATTCACAATTTTGAAGAGAGGGCACTCTTGCTCATCATAACTATGTACTTAGTTGGTTTATTTAATACCCAGGAGCAGAGAAGAAGATTTTCAAAGAAATAATGCATTTTCACTACCTACTTATTTAGCCCCGCCCTAGCACTAGAACCCCTGACCCCAGGGCCATGAATTTCACAATTTTGGTAGAGGACTCATTGCTGATTACAATCATCCACACAGTTTGACTGCTTGATGTCCAGGAGTAAAGAAGAAGATTTTTGAAGATTGCATTAATTTTAGTGGTTTTGGCCCCACCCCTCAGGCCCCAGGGGGGTAGGGATCATGAAATTCACAATTTTTGTTCCCCTTCACCCATAGATGCTTTGTGCCAAATTTGGTTGAAATTGGTTCAGTGGTTGCAGAGAAGAAGCTGAAAATGTTAAAATGTTAACGCACGACGCACGACGCACGACGAACGACGACAGACGAAAACGGAGAGATCAGATGCAATGAAGGAGTAAACATTCCCTGTCGAGCGGTTACACCCGTCGAATGCTCTTTGTCATGATCGGGAAATGTCGGGAAAATCTGTTGAAAATTCAGTGTGTAAAAATGGCCGAACATTAAGTGTGAATAATTTCAGTCAGCATTTGACTCAATGATAAATTGTATTTGCTGACAAGGTTATTTTATCCACCAAAGAACTTACAAAATGACACTTTAAAAGGAATTGTAAATAGTGTTGTTGTTTTT